TCGGGGATTGCTTTTTCAAGTAGTGTTCTAGTGTTGGTAGTAGTAATGTTCAAAAGCAATCCCCGAAATAGCGTTTTGGCATGGAAGGAAGCTTTTCGGGGATTGCTTTTTCAAGTAGTGATAGTAGTGGTTGTTTTCCTACCAGCAGTAGTTGTTCTAGTGGTGGTAGTACTAATGTTGAAATGCAATCACCGAAATAGCATTTTCTCATGGAAGGTAGCTTTTCGGGGATTGCTTTTTCAAGTAGTGATGGTAGTGGTCTTTTTCCTACTAGCAGTAGTTGTTCTAGTGGTGGTAGTAGTAATGTTGAAATGCAATCCCCGAAATAGCGTTTACTCATGGAAGGTAGCTTTTCGGGGATTGCTTTTTCAAGTAGTGATAGTAGTGGTCTTGAGCAGTGGTTGTTCTAGTGGTGGTACTGGTAATGTTCAAAAGCAATCCCCGAAATAGCATATTCTTGTGGAAGGTAGCTTTTCGGGGATTGCTTTTTGAAGTATTGATAGTAGTGGTCGTTTTCCTACTAGCAGTAGTTGTTCTAGTGGTGGTAATAGCAATTTTGAAAAGAAATCCCCGAAATTGCGTTTTCTTATGGAAGGTAGCTTTTCGGGGATTGCTTTTTTCAAGTAGTGATAGTAGTGATCGTAATGCTACTAGCAGTAGCCGTTCTAGTGGTGGTAGTAGCAGTGTGCAAAAGCAATCCCCGAAATACCGTTTTCTCTTGGAAGGTTGCTTTTTGGGGATTGGTTTTCCCAGTAGTAATAGTTGTGGTAGTAGTAGTAGTAGTAGTACTAGCAGTAGTGTTTTTCTGGTGGTGGTAGTAGTAGGTAGGACGTGATTGCATTAGGATATGTCGTAGGTAGTAGGATTACGGATTACACCAAGGATTACGGATTAAAACGGATTCCGTGCAATTCGCGGATTAGACGGATTGCGGATTGTTTTTAGGCGCGTCGGGCTTACGAACAGCTCAGCTTTATGACTTATCACCATTTGCACCACTTTCTGGAAAAGCAAGATAGAGGACGCTAGGGGCTCTTGGCATCGCTACTTGGAGCAAGGACGCTACTAGGGGCTCCTGGCCTTACTACTAGGAACAAGGACGCTACAAGGAGTTTTTTCAGATGTAGATGGAAGCAAGGCCCCAGATGCCTCAGCCATGCGCGAAGCAGTGGAGAAGCTGAAGTCCAACCCAGAGGCATAGCCCTCGATGGTATTTATTTGGATCCTCGGCTTGTGAACAAAACAGCTCTGGTTGTTGAGGCCGTGGAGCAAGCAAAGAAAATGATGGGAAGCATGCCTCCTGGGGTTCTGCAAATGCACCGAACTCATCTGTCACAGGCATTCTACATGTCGATTGGGCAAAGAAGTTTGTCCTTCCTGCCCAGACCAGGCTTACCGGAGGTAAGATCTCCGAAGAGCAAGCAAAGAAGGCGATTTGGGACAGCTTGAATGGTCTCAGGCAATATATTGATTTGACCTTATCTAAATATATTGTTTATACAGCCTGTTTTGAGATGATGCGAGAAGTCCAAGAGAGGCAGGAATGTGCCGAGGCAATGGATGCAATGGCTGATATGAGCACCGAGGACACGACATGTAGAGCCTACCAGGCATATGCGCTACATCGCTGCTTATCCCTCACCTTTTTGGACTCTACCAGACTGTACTACTGTGCTTTTCCTTCGTCTTTTTGCGGAGACCATTTTTTAGACAATGTTCCGTTCTTTTTGCATCTTTTGCATTTTTCAGTCTTTCTGATTTTCTTGCTTTTGATAACATGTTGAAAGGATTTGCTGGAAAGGGCCGATATGGTATCGAACAAGTTGGAATCCAAGCAGCTTGTACTGGCAGATGGCTGTGCTATGCTGCGCTTGTGTCGTTTTGCTTGTCTACTCGAACAGGATGGCCAAAGAGACCGTGCCCCCTGCAGCAAAGCTGGGCCCCTAACAAGACGAGGGGATCCACTTCCGACCTCGTTCCTCTCCAGGAAAACGAAGAGTTCGGCTCACTTCAAGCGCTCGTTTGGCTTTGTTGCTTTGGCCCTTTTTCTGTCGGTTTCTAGTCACTTTTAGATACTTTTAGCACACCTATTTGAGCTTCGTCTCCTCCTTTTCCTCGTTTGGATTCCAAGGCCTGGCTCTAAGCCTGCCCGCTCAGTCGACTGAGTCTTTGGACTTGGCCGCATGATATCCCAACGTCCTGCATGCCGCAGCGTTGCTTTTTCTAATTCCCGGTCCATTTGTCCGTGCCCGGGACTTGAGGACAGTTGCAAAAAACATGATTTGGTTCGCAAGTCTCGCATGAGCTTTCGGACATTTTAGTTTAGATGATCATATGCCAGATTCATGCATGGGTGATGCTGTGGTTCTGAATGGCTGGGGCTCAAGCCGCCTGAACTGTATGGATACACAGACTAGACAGAGGCTTTTCTTCAACTCTTCAAGCTTTTGCGGATGGCGGGGTGCTCGTTTGCATGGCCCCAGCAACCAAGCTGGTCAAACCTATGTCAAACCTTCAAGTAAAGGTGAGCCCCGTTGAACCAGATTCAGACGCTGAGCAGCTATGGGCTGATGGCCGGACTTCCTCAGGCCTGTTTCATATGGCAGGACGCATTGCGGAACATCTAACCGATAACCAATGGTTAGACTGGTTTGTGTTCCTTCTTCCAGGGGAACTGGGAGCTCTGCCTATTTTAAGACACATCCATATTAGCCATCACTTGCCAGAGTGCCTGTCAGCATTTTTTTCCCACCACCATACTCCAAGATTTGCATGGTTCCAGCTTCCTAGGCAGCTTCCGTTCGCAATCGTCTTCGATCTGTTCTGATTTTGAGACACGTTTGCTCCATCGCCAGACTTGGGATGCGCCACCTCCAGCGCCCTCGTCCTCAGCAGCTCTGGCTCCTCCAGCACTTCCTTGGCCAGTGCAGGTTGGCTACATGAAATACCTTAGGGAACAAAAAGGACACTAGTAACAAGTGCCACGCTACTAGTAACAAGAAGCTAGTAGTAACAAGTGCCTTACTAGTAGGAACAAGAAGCTACTAGGGGCTCCTGGCCTTACTACTAGGAGCAAGGACGCTACAATCGGGGCTCCTGGTTGTGTAGCTGTGTGGAACTGCGAGGGCCACATGGGCAGGGTGGTGCAACCTGGGTGAAGTAAGTCTGACATGACAACGGCTTGGGTCCCTCACAGTCTTTCCATGAAGACGAGCCGTTGGAAGGCTTTCTTGGTTGAAATATAAGTGAAGAATACCTTGTCAAGCATCCAAATGATCCAATAAGAGAACTGCTTATGCAGGACATTCTCAGCTCTTGTTCCCCCCAGGCCTTTCAGGCTATTCCTGAGGTCGTTTCTGCACAAACGTCTTTGCACTTTGAGGCACCATCTCCATTGCTGGATTTGCAAGGAACATAGTCCTAGCACTATGATTTAAGCCAAAAGGATAGCAGGATTTGGGAGCGCCACCTACTTTTGGAGCCTAGGCAACCTCCTGCAAGCATTGCACCCTCTGCGCGATTTCAGGTGCGTGGACGTTCCTTCAAATTGCTTCAATAGAATCCCATGACATTGGCAGTGGGCTGTGCAGAAATGTTAATTGTGCACTTGCAGGTGTACAGCGAAGACTGTGAGGAGTTCCTGCAATTAGCTTCTCTTCCAGTTCTATTGCAAGCGATTTGAAGGATCCAGTGACTTTTGGACAAAGCCCCAGACACGTGGGACACCCAGTGGCCAGACGGCCAGTGGCGCATCTGATGATCTCTTTCTCTGAGGCAACTGGAAGAGGCCGCCAGAACCTTAGATGCCATGGTCAAGGTACCTAGTGATTAGATATGGGTACCAGCAGCTGCTTCTGACTTCTGTTGAAGGTACCAAGCAGGAAGTCTATGTGCAAGACCTGCGGGATAGTGGACGTTTCAGGCTTGAGCATGAGCCAGCCAATTGGTGGTGCCTAGGTGAGATGTGGAACATGGTGAAACATTTTTGAGCTTTGTTGCCCAACATTTGAGATTGAGAGAATGATGTGATGATGGTGATGAAGAAGAATATGATGAAAATGATGTTTTCATGTTCTTAGCGCTTCTGTTTAATGCTGTTTTCATGAACCTACAGAACAATAAGGTTTCTTTGCCAGTAAGATGCGCTTGTCTGGAGGTCTGTGTCTCGGAAGGCAGCGAAAGCAGCTTTAGCTCCAAGAGGCCAACGTGATGTAAAGTAATGCCCTTTTACTAGTAGCTTCTCGTTCCTAGTAGTAAGGCCAGGAGCCCCTAGT